GATAAGAAAGCTCATCATTAAGTCCTTCCAAGAACCTCTCCTGGCGCTGTTCATCAGTGCGCACATCTTCCGGAGCATAACGAGCCAAACGATTGAACTCGTGCAGATACTCGGTGACAGAGCGAGATCCCTGGGTGAGCGACCTGAATTCCTTCTTCTTGAGAGACACCACTCCCGATGGTATATGCGTCTTCCGGAAAGCAGCGGTGAATTCAAGCCAAGTGATAGGTTCAGCAGTAGTCCTGTTAAGACGGAAGTGATCCCACCATTCAGAGGCAGGGCCATGCAGCTGGTGTGATGCAAATGAGACCTTCTCCTGATCGGTGCACTGAAGCAAATCCAACTTCTTCTCTATGGCATGCAACCAATCACCAGCTTCAACAGGATTAGTGGTGCTAGAGAAAGTGGGCGGCCTCACACGAAGAAATTCTACTAACTTGTTCTGGGGAGGTGCATGGTTATTTCCCTGGTTCTGCTGGTTCTGGAGTTGCTGCATCATCATGTTCATAAGCTGTGCCTGTTGAGCCAGGACTTGGGCAAGTGTGGGATTCTCTCCATTGTTGTTGTTATTGTTGTTGTTGGGGCCATTCCCGTTGCTGCGAGTGAGCACCATCTGGCATGGGCAGGAGCACAAGAAGAGAAACCGGGGAAAACTACTTAGGACAGAGAATTAATTTAACTTTTATTGATCTTAAGTGAGTTTCATTATTACAAAACTGAAGACTCTCACACCACTAAACTCACCAACTACCTAACACTCGAAAGCAAACAAACGCATGCACTTACATCCCACCACTGATGTAAATCACATGCGAGACACACACAACCAAACTTAAAACAAGCAAACTAACACAACGATCTAAGACAACGGTTTGACAAGACATTCTAGGTCTTCCGGGCATCGGAGTTGATTGAAGGCTCGTTCGGCTCGTCTTCATCATCTTGAGTGGCTCCCCACTCGATCTTGGAATGGGTGCGCTTGGATTCTTCTCCTTCATCATCACTTACGTTGACGACCGAAGGATCCGCTAGGGCTGGGGTAACTTCTTCTCCACCACACGGACCTTTGGCGCCAATTGGTAGCGAGGGACAAATAGAGCTCTCTTCCTTGCGGTAAGACGAATCCTGGCCTTCTGCGGTGGTGCTTCTCCCTTCAATGCGGCTAGTTCCTTCTCCAAACGATCCACTTTGTCCTCTAGCTTGCAAATCTTACCACGATTCTGGTCTTCACGATCTTGAGCTGCTAACACAGTCTCCGCACGGGTTTCATCCATAGCCCACAGCATCTCAACCAAATGCCTTGTGGTAGCATCATTCTCAATTCCCTCAGTCTCAAGGTAGCTGCCACGGTCACTTCCCTGTGGTTGACGAGGATGGTAGCGATACTTAGTGTCGGCCAACTGATCACTGTAGCGATCGCGGAGCTCTCCTATGGCGATCCTTGCCACTTCCTGACACGCATGGATGTAGTTTCCTCCTCCAGCTTCGAACATCACTGAGGGGATATCTTCACTATTACTGTTCAAGGTGACTTTGACTCGGCACTTCTCTTCGTGACGATCATGAGGAATCTGGGCATAAAAAGGGGTAGTCCTAAATCCTATGACAAAGGACATCGTACGCAACTCCTGGACAAATCCCTCAACACCAAACAAGTACTCAGGCTTGTAGCGCGGCATCTAAAGACAAGTGAAAGGAGGGAGTTAAGACATTTATCCAATTAATAGCACAAGTTTTTGGATTAATTTGAATAAAGTTAGAAAATCAAAGTAAAAGGTAAGTAAATAAAGTAAACCAAGCTTGAAAGATAAGTTGAAACAGTTGGAAACAAGGTCACAAATTGTGTACTTTTGAACGACAGGTTCCAAAGGAAATAAAAGAAAGTTATAAAATCAACATGCTAAATTTATTTTATTGCAGCAAGATTAAATAAAACAATATTATAAAACTTTTGCTGGTAAACGAGCCATTAGTACAGTAATAGATGTATAGTACTAATAACACTGGAATAAATTTTGAATGAGAACCACTAAAAGAGATTATGAAGTGCATGTGCTATTAGTTTGGTTTAATTAAAAGAGAAGGGGAGGAGAACAGTTCTACTTTTCCAATATTTTTAGAGGGCTTCTATGGGTAACCATTTGCAATAACCTAGGGTCAAGGGGGCTCTGATACCAACTTGTCACGCCCGGAATTTCTATCCAAAATTCCAAACACTTACATGTGTGTGAACCCTCGTCCAAGAATCAGCCGAGGCACACAATAACAAATTGATAATAGAGTATAATTATTACTCTAATTAATAAGCGAATAAAATGTCATTACAGAGGTAGATAGTTCCTCTCAATCAATAAAGATCTAAGCAGCGGAAAATAAGATAAACGGCGCAGACGACTCCACTCCACAGGCAGCTTGACCAGGGCTACACCTAATCCTCCACACCATCAGCATCACTGTAGAACTCTTCCTCTGATGAATGATTGCAAGGTGAGTATATAACATACTCAGCAAGCCACGCAGCAAATATGCAAGTGCTCAGGATAACAAAGGATGGCATAGTAGGGTTTCATTTGCATAAACAGCATTTAATAAACATTTCAGAATTTAATAAAACAGTTAAGTGATAATTAAACAATATTAATCCAACGCTATACAACATACCCTGTTGCATAGACCCAACCATTCTGAACAACCATCCCGGCTGCACAGTTCTATCTCCAAACCAGGAATATACCATTCCAAACCAGGAGCTAATCAAATTACTATCAGTTATAGCATCTTTTATTATGATGAGAAGCGTGAAACTAATCACGAAAGACATTGTTAGACCCGCCCATAACCGCGGGCACGGCTATTCGAATAGTTTTACTCTGGCCAGAGATGTACCGCTGTACCCACAAGACACAGCCCCACATCATGTCACCATGTGCCTCAATACCACCACGGTACCTCGGAAAGGAGCTGTGACAGTACCCCTCGCACAACACAATCCACCACAGCGCACCATTCCTGGATCATAATCACCCCCTTATAAACAAGGCATGGACTCCCCAGCGACCCCCGTGGGCTTATCTCCGCCACTTCTCAGTCTGGTGCTCCGCAATGAACCATGCTATACAAAAGGTAAAGCCGTTGCCCACGCTGGCTTGTGGTTGGCACGGTTAATGTTTCACAACCGAAACTCGTGAACCGGTCCTTAATTGTCATGAGCACGACTCTCAAAACCATGTGCTCACAACCCACCATTATCAAGTTTTAGTTGGCAAATAATTAATTAACCAATCACGATTGACCATCGTGAACTATCATTAAGCCATCATTAAATAATAGTGAATCATAAGTTATCCCAATAGTGTGCTAATGTTTCTAGGCATGGCTAAGCAATCATATCTAATATCTAGCTGAACCAATATATATAGCCCAACTAGTCAAGTTATAATCACCCAAGGTATCAAGGAGTAAAGTAATCAAGAACAAAAAGGGCTATAACAAACAATAGGTTAATTCCACTCAATGACATTCGAAAATAAATGCAATAGTTGAATAGAAACAGTAGCTTTAAACGGGATCAACATACTCAAAGGGTTGTTTGGGATCTGTGTGACTTGCCTTGCTGGCCTTGGAACTCTTCAAATTCTTCTCCTGCGAAAACGGACTCTCCGGAAACGTCGGAATCTAAACAGAAAGGAGCAAAATCACCAAAACAGCACATAAACAAGCATGAACAGTACATGTGGATATTTTTAACATGTAGATCTCAATTTTAAAAAAATTTAGAGACTTGAACCAACTAAATCCGAGCTAAGATGAATTAGTTATGAATTTTTAAAGATTAAATCGGATTAAATCACTTATATGGATTTTAAATGAATTATGACGCAATAATGAATTATTTTTGAAAAGGAAAAAGGAATTATTGCGTCAGCGGCTAGGGTTTGCGGTGGACCGGGTGCACGGCGGCGGCTCACGGAAACGAACGGCTGAGATCGATCCTATCCAAAACGGACGGCCGAGATCGAACGGTCCACAGCCGGACCACGGAAGACGACGACGATGACGTCTTCCCGAGCGACGGCGACAACTGAAGCGACGGCGGCGCACGGCTGGAGCAGCGGCGACAACAGCGGCGCGAGGTTACACGGTGCTAGGGCGCTACGGACGACGAGAGACGAAGGCAAGGGTGGCGACGGGTAGCGGCGGACTTGGGGATCCTTTTATAGGGACAAGGAGGCGGCGGCGAAGGCCCACGGCGACCGGCGACGAGAAGGAAAGATTAGGGTTCGGAGGAGAGAGATCGATCCGAATCGAACTCGAATCCACGGATTTCCAAACGAAATTAGCCGACGATTCCATAAGAGAAAAGATAGAGTGGATCGCGAGGATCATTTCCCCTCTATCGATTCGGCCGGAGATGGAAAGGAGCGACGGAATTTGGAAAGAGACGGCGGCACGGCTCGGCTAGGGTTCGGGCGGCGGCCGGCGCGAGGAAGACGACGGGTCCGACAGGTGGGCCTCACCTGTCAGCGGGCGGACGCGCGCGCGCGAGCGGGCGGCTCGGCTGCGGACTGGGCCGACTTGGGCCGGGGAGAGAGAGAAAAAGAGAGAGGTTTTGGGCCGACTTTCGGCCCAAAGCAAAAAGAGACTTTTAAAAACCTTTTTCAATTTAAATTATTCATGAAATGCAATTCCATTTATTAAAAATACTTCCTTAGCTCAAATAAATCCCAGAAAAATCTAGGAATTATAGAATTAAGCAAAGTATTTAATGAAATTTTATCTGGCCCCATTTTATATTGGAATTTATTAATTAAAATTAGATCTTCTCTTCTAGGCTTTTAAAATAAATTCTAATAAATCCAATTAAACAACAATTTATATATTTTGGATTTTTAGGGTGTGACAGAAGCATATAGGATCAGTCAAAACCTGCAGTATCATTTGCACAAGTTAATTGTTTTGTTACATGTTTAATGTAAAATGATAATCTCTAGTACCTGAGTGATGATAGGTTCATCAACCTCTTCAACTTCTGGTGTGGGTTCTTTGCTAATAATATTTTCTATTTCATTTTTACCATTTTGGGCAGCCTTTCTCTTCTTACAACCTTTCTTATTGTGTCCAACATTCTTGCAATAGCTACAATGGATTTGTACACCATGCTTGGAAATCTTTGTGCCTGCATCAAGTTCTTGTGGTTGTTTTCTCCTTGTTGTCTTAGGCCTACCAACTTTCTTCTCATAAACTGGAGGATTAACTGGGACACCATTCATCTTTTCCCAATGTGTCTTATCTCGCACTGGCATTATATTGAACATATATGCTTGCTTGAAGGACTGAATTGTGTAGCAGAATGATACCTCATCCTCTGGCTTGATTCTCTCATGCCTCAAACAAGAAATTGCATGGTTGCATGGAATCCCAATTAATTGCCAACGCCTGCAGTCACATTGTTTGTTTTTTATGTCCACAACAAATTGCTTATCTCTATCAGTGACTTGAAAGACCCCCATCCTAGAAGGCAATGCATAGCATGTGTTGGACATCTCAATGTTTTTCTCTACCTTTTGCTTTATCTTTGGGCAAATGTCAAAGACCCACTTCTTACATTCCTCCTGCTTTGTGTATATTCGATTCATGAGTTTGCTCCTGATCTTCTCCAACATAGACAAAATGGTCAACTCCCTAGCCTCAAGTATGTACCTAACATGGCACTGAATAATTTTAGATAAATGATGATAATATCTTATATGAAAACTAAAGGGCATAAATAACAAGCACTTGTTAAAAACCTCCAAATTATTATTCAACAGAATATCACATTTTGAGAAGTCCCTGAAAAAAGCTCTACACCATTGGTTGGGAGGGATCTCCTCCAAGTAGCCATATGCATCTTTGTTTACTGCCTTCATTTTCTCCGTGTTAACGTTCCACTCAGGTACAGTGGTTGACCTCGCTATGGCCCATAATTGATTCTTTAGTGCCTCACCTTTGTATAGCACTGCAAAATTTTGGTAAAGATGTCTAACACAAAACCTATGCTCACTATCAGGGAACTCATCCTTGATTGCTGGAATAAGCCCCTACATTTACATGCAAACACCATCATTAAAATATGTGAAATGCAAATTAATACATACAGAATGTAAAACAGGCAACTACCTTTTGCCTATCAGTCATTACTGTCTATGGAGATGTATTCATAATACCAAGGTCTTCTTTGAGAGTACTTAGAAACCACCCCCAACTTTTTCTGTTTTCTACCTCAACAACTGCAATAGCTATAGGGTAGATACAATCATTAGGGTCCATGCCCACTGCTGTGAGAATATGTCCACCAAACTTTGTTTTGATATGGCATCCATCAAAACATATGAGAGGTCTGCATCCACTAAGAAATCCCCTCTTAGAAGCATCCATTGAGACATATAGTGTGTGAAAGCAGCCATTATGAAGGTTCGAAAAAAATTTGCTACCAGGATTTGACCTTCTCAACTCTTGAGCATAGTCCCAAAGTTGGTCGTATTGAGCAATCTCATCTCCGTAAATAGCTTCCCTTGCTATTTGTCTAGCTCTTCCTAATTTATGCCTTGATGGTGTAATGTTCAAGCTTTTCTGTACCTTCTTAGCAAAACTAGCTAGTGTCATCTTGTCATCACCCCTGAATTCCTCAATAAACCTTCCTGCGAGATATCTTGCAGTCACAGCCTTCAACTCCCACTCCTTCCTACAAGTGTGACTTCCCACATATTGCTTAACCATGAAACAATTTGCTCTACTATCAACGCTTGCTACTAACTTCCATGGACAGTTCTCAGCACAATGAGCTTCATATCTCTTCTTGTTATTCCTATCAGGCTTCACGGCAACCCTGTTTGTAATGCTATACTGGGATACCGCTTTCCTAAGTTCCTCAATAGTGCCAAACACCATACCTGGATAGAATTCTGGTGATTGCATATCGACATCAGGTCTAAATGTCTTGAAGTTAAGCTTGATTTCACCTTCATCTTCAGAAGACTCGGGAAGAAATAGTCTTTCATCACTATAGAAAATATCATCGGACGCATCCTGAATATTACCCACGCCTTCCTTAACCACAGCCTTGCCCTTGACAAGAGCTAACTCATCATGAACAGTACCATCTATATATTTATCATACAAGTCATCATCATCCCTGTCAACTTCGTAATCACTGTCTACAAAATCTGGGTCCTCCATAGTATTGTCCTCTTCATCAATGTTGCATTCAGGGTTGGCAGCAACTGAAGGAGGGGCTTGGCTAGTCATTGCAATATCATTTAGATCAATTGCCTCTAAGATGTCCTAGTGATCAATATACAACACCAAGGATCTAACCTTTGGCACCAATGCAATCATGCTATCTGTATCTGCATCACACTTCAAACTCCTCAGACCATCACTAAATGTTTTTCCTGGGAGTAGCCACAACACCTTGGTCTTCTCTGACTTCTCATACCCAAGTTGCTCAATAAAGTCCTCAATCCAAAGGAGAGACCATGAATCAGAATCACAATGGTCAAACCAGCAAATATTATCATCAACGTATCACCGACTAACACCAACTCCACAAAAGAATCCTCCATGGTGCATCTCAGTTGTGAATTCATCACTACCAGTATCTGCAATATGATTGTGTTGAAAAGAGTCAGAAAAAGTCTTCAGTAGAATATATTTTTATGTAGTGAGAAATCGTATGATCGACTAATTCTTATATATAGTTGTTTAGTTTTACGAGTATAACTTAATACTATGTGCTTGGCAATATTTCAGTTCAGTGAGGTATGTCAAGCAACTAGCATCGCTGCAAGCTGCGGCAGCCGGCGGAAACAGAATCATTTTGCAACATAATGAAAGCAAACAACGAACAAATTCTTAATCTAAATGACAACTAATTTAATTGATGTGACTTATGCTTATTGCAAATAAATTAATAATATCTTTAAAAGAAATCTAGATATCTACAGTCACATATACACGCAAGGATGAAAACTATTTCTAACTTGTTTGTTTACGCGTACATATTACTCAGTGCTAACAGATGGGCTAGTTATTTGGCTGCACATGCATATAGCTTCATGGATTTATGTGCTAAGATTTTGCAATACGAGAGAATCCATGTGATGGCAGTAGAACAACTAACCATATGTGGGCTGATGAACACCGGTAAGACGCATCATTGGAGCCATCAAATGGAGCGCTCGTGGCCAGCGTTGATGATTTCGCCGGCGATGGATTCATACGCAGCCACGCAGGCTATCGCCGCAATTCGCTAGATCTGGCACCGTCCTGTCCCGTGCGCACGCTAACAAAAACCTACAATCATGGCTTAGCACACGGGGCATAACATATCTAAATCAGCCAGTTAGATTAGCAAAGAGTAGTATAGTAGAAGGGTTTTTCTATAAAATTGTATTACTTTCGCCAACTCATCATCACGTCTGCCATCGTATCGTCCACCTTGGCAAAAATAATACACGTGGCATGTTTTTTATTATATTTGCACCTCTAAACAAATTGAATGACTTATTTGAGCAAATTACAAGATGGGTGACTAAATTGCACCCACCTTGCAAGTTGTGGTACCTACAACGCATTTTACTCTAATAATAATATATCTCCCGAGTGTATCTCACTTAAGTGACTCAATATACTATGAATCGGGCATAGTATCATTAAGTTCTTGAAATGTAGCATTGGAGTAGAATATTCATGAGGAGTTGGGTATATATGGAGGGGCGTACTCTCAGGAGAAGAGGCAGAGTATGTTAGAAGAATAGTTGATCATAGAGCCTATGCCATTAAGGGTAGAATTCATTTAAGTATTTTTTTTATCAAATAAAGACATGATCATCCTAGTCTGCATTATAAATTGTCATTCATATTTAAAAACACATTCATCATATCCATTACTTTCATCCTCAAGTTAATCTTGGTTTCCTTAAAATCTAGTAGTCATGAACCGTTTCTTTTAATTTAGCAATTTTAGTATTAAAAATCATATGCAAACATAGGGATGCATTACACTTTATATCCAATATACAATTTTCTTTAATTAATCTAGATGTACACCATCCAATTTTACCTGTTCTACCGTCAAGCGATGCATAGATAGGTCTAAACTTACAATTAGTAAAAATAAATAAAAATTAGCATCATCACGGATAGATATTTAATTTATGACTAGTACAGTAGAAAAAAAATGAAGAACTTGATTTATAAAGAAATGTACATCCATTGGAGCATAGTAATAGTTAAAAAAAATCTGAATTTCCAATATAGTACATATTAATTTCTATTCAATTCCCTGGAAATTAGAATTTAGAAATCTTATTTTTCTACTGTATATGTTTAGATATGACAAAAATTAAAGATTAGTTATAGGTTAAAAAAATGGGTCATTGGTAAATAAAGCACCAAGTTATTATATGCTTGCAGAAGTTAAAGTTAGCAAAGAATGTAAGTACACCTTTTAGATCAGTTTATTTACTGTAAAAAAACATATCATTTCAGTATAATTTCATAATTATTAAACTATAAGTGTCATATAAAAGAAATTTAGAGATGAGAAACTCATTTACTCTCTAGATGACAGGTTACAGATTATTTAAACTAGAAGTTAGTTAAACAAATATGAACATGGTAGGAATAGTCTAATAATAACTTTACTGTGTTCACCAGTGTTGTATTGCATTTTCATTTTTGTTTAACCGTACATGTTAAGAAGTAATTTAAAGTTAGGTTAAAAAAATCTCTCATGTATTAGGTTCAAATCAGTTTTATTCTTTCACCATTAAGTAGCATTCCAACATCAGGAAAAAAAACTTGAAATTTAATCTTATGCATTGCATTACATTAATACTTTAAGGTGTCCATCGTCCATTTAATTTCTGGACCATTAATCTCTTTCCTCGATCTAATTAACAGTACCTAGCTATATCCTTCCTAATTTAGCCATAAAACTAGAGATCAACTATATACTTGGGGTACATTTGTTTGGGTAGATAGAAAGGTAAAAAAAATCAATTCCAGTAAAAAAATGGTAGACAACAATTATTTTAGTACCCATTAGTTCTACAGAGACATCTTATCTGCTAACTTGTAGATTTCTAAACTATAGTGATCTTACCTTAAAATTCTTAGAAATTACTCTTGTAGTAGACTCTTATAGGATTTCTTAGTAAGTCATAGATGCTTAGCAAACTACATAGGACTAAGGAGTACATACTGCTGTAAAAAAAAATTACTTTAACAATTGAACATAAAAGTGCTCACTTAAACATCATTTTAATTTCGAGGACGAAATTATTTTTTAGGGGGGGGTGGAGGTAGGATGTAACATCCCAGGTTTTAGCTATAGTCTTAGTCACGCTAATGACCTAGTCACACTGACTAAGAGCGGTGTCGATTGAGCCACGATGCTTGCTAGGATCTATAAATATATCGATTATTGTTCTATTATGGATCTTAAATGATTTTTCGATCGTTTCCTTGTCATTTATTTATCAAGCCATATCCATATGCATCATTGATTTATTGTTAGTTAGACTAAACCTGGTGAGGAGTGGGATAATTTAGTTTTGGTTAAACTATAGTGTAGATTAGTCGTCATGAAGCGAGGTACACGTGTGCACAGTAGAAACCACAGTTCTTTATTTACAATTTACCACTATAGGCCTGCATACATACATGCATATTATTGTACTCTAGAAATCTTATACAGTATGCATCGCATATATTGTGAATATACATGGTGTCAGGGTTATGAATACCACATACCTAATAGTTGTATGCATCACATATATTGTGCATATACATGGTGTTAGGGTTATGGATACCACATACCTAATAGTAGTTGACTAAATCTCGGCAGGACCCACCACATACCATGTCTTATACGGAAACAAACTTCGGATATAGGAGGAGTTCCGCATAAGGATGAATAGAGTTCTACATGGAAACGACAATGACTACTCGGATTGTATCCATATTGGTTTTACTAGTTCTACTTAGACAAGGGGACACCTATGGGTATAAATACAAGGCCCCCTAGGAGGAGAGGAAACAGAGAACAATAGATCAAGACACAAGATCAACATACAAGCCAATATACGCCAAGACATGCCGCCAAGTCAACAACAGTTAGATAGGCTACCTCAAATATAAATATTGTACTGGTGTGATTATGATGAATAAGAGCAACGACCGGCTTAGGCCAACAGGAGTAGGGTTATTACTTGACAATTCAAGGGTCTAAACCTATATAAAAATCCTCGTACCCATCTGTTTTACCACAGTCTCACGTATACCCTGTTACCAACGATCCTCATACTATGCAAATACCGGAATCACGACATCAAACGTCAACACATGGTGCTTATAGATATCACACCATAAACTGAACCATCTCAGTCAAAGATTCAATAATTATTTATTTTCAGAAAAACTCTTGAGTTTTAGGGCAATTGCATCCCAGTCTCTGAACTCGTAGTAATCTCCAATTTACCAAGCTTGTGGGACTCAAGTGCAAAAGCACCAAACATGTTAGACTTTACAAAACTTCTATTGATTGGGAAATTAGTAAATATAGCTTTAGATTATCCCACCGAACCAGCTTTGTTGAGGTGGCAGCAAGCCCTTATCCAACCGGCATGCGAGCTGGTGAGTCACTTAGCTTTCATTAAAAATTCACACATATATTAGCCTCGGTTTGGTCGTGCAGATCAACACAGGCAGCAAGCAGTTGCAGTAGTAGTAGCAACAGCAAGAGCACAGCCATGGCGCAGAAGCCTCAGCCGCAACAGCAGTAGCAGCAAGCAGTTCGTCCGGAAAACCACCTCAAAAGAGAGAAATGGCAGAGCAGTAGCTAGTAGTCCGGCACCACAGTCACACCATATCTCAATAGTAGCAGCCATAGAAAAACAACCAGGCTGAGAGAGTAGAAGGAAAAAGAAAGGAGTGCACTTAGTTTCAAGAAAATCAAGAGGTTTCTAGCAAAGGAGAAGAAGTAAGTAGCAAATCCAAATACCAATCAAGATCATCACATACCTTACCATATAAACCATAGCAGCAAGAAGATGCTGAAGTGAGACGGCAGAGAGACCAACCTGAAGAAGGAGCAAGTGGTGTTCCAGCAGTCCAGCTCAAGAAGAAGAAGAAAATGCCCAATTACTATAGTTTCTGGAGGAGCAGCTGGTGCCTGAGCAAGGAGGAGAAATATTCAAGTGTTCCAGTTCCAATAAAGGAGTGAAGTTACAGTCCCAGCAGGAGAAGCGGTAGAACCAGAGAGGGAGAAACCACACAATCTTCACAGCCACACTAGAGTCATTGACAAGGTAATCCTGAAATAAGAATGAGAGGGAAATCACATCATGGCATGATTCTTGGTTGATGCATATATTAGTATGTTTAGGAGTTATGTGCATGCACATAGTTATATCCATTAAACCTGAAAAATGAACCTCAGTAGATGGCAGCCATGTTGATATGTGCATATACTAGTACTATGTGTTGGGGTTATATTACTGAATATGCATCCTTAGTTCAATAAGCAAGACATAATTTTTATGAGTAATTGGACAAGATAGTATCGTCTAAAATTTAATGGACTCTTAGTAGGATAATTGAAGTATAGATCAGCCATCTCAGTGCATAGTTGACAGCAAGAATTATCTTGGATGATCTATAAGCGCATTTGAGTTAAGGATTTATATCTGTATACAGTGATATAAATCAAGGTTCAGTAAAGCCGTCATAGGATGAATTTTTAATGCATGCGTAGGAGCAGAGCATAATTAGAGAAAAGAATGGCATCTATTAGTGTGCGCAAATATATCTTCAGTTTAAGTATATGAAATCGCAGTTTATAAAATTGTCAGGAAACAGGAGAGTATAGTATCTGAATAAAAACCATAGCATACAGTTAGGTCATCAAATAGTCTAATTTCTCCTTGCATGAATATTTCAAATCAAGTAAATTACATAGAGGCAAGAGGTAGTACATATAGTCAGTAGCAGTAAATTATTTAAGGAAATTAGTCAACATTTACATAATTCCATTATCTATAGCATACATCTTGCCATGATCATCAAGTGTAGAACCATGCAAGTTACATCACCATTCAATAAGATTTATTATTGAATCTAATCCGCTTGATGTGTTACTAATTTCAGAAATTCGGTTATTTCAACATGCAAAGCATATACATAAGGATCTGATCATGTTAGTGTTTTAACAATTTCAGTATTTCAGTTAATTCTACATGTAAGCATATATATATAAGGACAAAATCATGTTAGTGTGTTTTTAGTTTCAGTACTGCATTTTCATATGATATATTATGCAAGCATTCATTCATCCATCCATAGCATATGGTTATCATCTAATTATAGCAAATCAATTAATCTAGAACCTACAGATAGCAGGATAATTCTGAGTATAGCATCATCAAGTTGGTCATTAGGACTAGTTCACAAGCATAGAAATTCACAGTAGGTAACTATATAATAGAACACCAATCAGATCACATCACAGAAGTAGGGAATGAAGGGATCAGAGAGAAGGAGCTCGGGGAGACACGGCTGGTCTGAGTCATGCTTGGATCAGGGGCGCCGGGGCTGGGAAAATTCCAATCCCAGTCGTTGAGAGCAGTAGCCAGCAGCAGCATCGATTGGAGAGGGGTTGATGGCTAGGGTTAGTTTGGGGATAGACTCATGAGGAGCCACGAAACCGATTCAGGCCGGCAGCGGCTGCGGGGCGGCTGCCGGAGGCAGGGAGCATCGGCCGGCGTGGGGTGGAGCGGCGGCGAGACCTGAGGATGCGGCGGCGCAGGGGAGAGCGAGAGAAAAAGAAAGAGAACGAGAGAAAGAGAGGAGAGAAAGAAGGTGGGTTTGGTGGGTTGTGTTGCTGTGGGCTTTAGTAGATGGGCTTATAAAATTTAGAGGTAGAGTTAGAAAATAAAGAAAAATAATAATATATGACATTTAAACTTTTTAAACTATTCAAACTTAATTCATGCATATTCTAATGCTACTTATTTTAATTCACTTCAGATGATTTTTAAATTAAATTAAAGTGTGTCTTTTTGAAGTAAATATATATACAACCAAATCTTTCATATTATAAATCTAAATAAAAGTATTTCTTGAAATATATCTTATAAACTATTTTTCTAAGGAAACAAATATATTTAGTTCTATGAAAGTAATATATCTTAGGGCTGTTGAATAAAATCTCTATAGTGAATCAAATTTCTTTTAAGTAAAATAATTACTCTTTCTTAAAATAAAAGTAAGTCCATAACCTATATATATACAGCCTGTGCATTAGGGTTAGACATATCATGTGCATCGCATTCATATAAACATTCTCGTATTTAGTTGTGTTTTATTGTTTCTTTCAGTTGGGCGTTTATCTTGGATTTCTGGAATTCTTCGTTCATTTATTTGTTCTCCGATTTCGGGTATCTCAGGCAAGTCCAACACCTTTGACCAACTCTTGTTATATTTTCGTAATTGCAATCTATATGTATCACCTTGCATTAAATTATACTTTCTATAATTGAAATAAATATGTTGATGGATTGGATTGACCGGTGGAGAAGTCGGTCATACTACAGATGTATTCTGAACCTGCTATGGTGGTGGTGGTTCAGTTGCATATATTTATCATCATAAGGTTAAATAACAACTGTTATATGGCATTCAAGCGCCGTAGCGATCATGTCGACCATATGACCTGGAATGGGACATGCTAGCTTAGTAGTTCTTTCTTAATGGCTTTATCCTGCGGGCTTAAGGACTTCCGCGAATCCCGTGAGCGTGGGCTAGCGATGAGGGTTGCCGTTGTTGCGGAATCCAATTAGATGATGTGGATCGCCGTTGTTGCGGGATCTGATGATTTGCCGTTGTTGCGGGAATCACCCGCGGAGATAAATGTCAGATGGGATTGATGAAAAGCTTGTGACCTTAGCCTTGCCGGCATACACCATGAAGTGTGCTTAGGCGCTGGCGTGGTGGCGGTGTAGCGCGGGCGTTAAAAGGTTTAAGGCATCTATGGGTACAGCGACATGCCTCTGCAGAGTGTATGAATTGTGATATGTCACTCCCTGTTTCGGGTAGAAACTACGAACGCGGCAGGAAAGGAACCTAACAGAGGTTCTAATACCTGTAGTGCCTTATATGCAGTAGATTTTATAATTACTTAATATGAGATTTTATTATACTGTTTTATGAACATGCATAAAATTCCTTGTTGGATTATGGGATTTGGAGATATACGTATTATGCAGGTAGATTATGGGCATATATTTGTTGGATTGCTATAGTTGGACTTGTTGAGTACCATTCGTACTCATCCCATATATATATTCTTCCTTGTAGTGTTGAGCTAACAATTAGGTGAAGAGAAGATTCTACAAAAATAAACAAGTGTTGCATATCTCTACATCAACTTAATGGTGAAGGTGATGAAGATCTAGAAGAGCAAGGTACTATTAGTGTTATTATTTTGGTAAAAACTAATTTTTTATGGTTTTTATTTAATGGGTTTCGCTACAATTGTTTCTGCTACGCTACTCTGGTGTGTCTATTTCTTGGTAGGTTGGTTCTTACTAAGGAATGAGCCGTAGACCGGTATTCTACCTCAGAAGTGGAATACGTGGGTCGATACACGAAGAATAGAATCGATGAGATTTTCAGAGATACCAGGAATGATACTAATATTGAGATGCCTTCGACTAAGTCTGAATTATTATAAAACGAACGTATTGTTGTGCCTACTGCTTTGGATACTAATATTTTGCAGGCATATGAGAACAACCAAGGTAATGAGGAAGAGAGGAAAGACGAAGAGGAAAAAGACCTATCTATAGCTCCATTCTTGCTTGAAGAATGTTCAATTGACCAAGCGCCTATAATTTCTGAAGATGAGAAAAAAATGTAATGATAATGGTGCTACAGCAACTCAAGGTATGGATATTTATGATATGTCAACTATGTCTACTACTTATACTACATTAGAGCAACCCATAGTGGAAACAATTGCTGAAATATATTTCTCACAAAACAATTTGTTTGATGTTTCTTGTGATAAAGAACAGTTCTGCGATGCTTCATTTATATCCATGCCACAACTAGTGAATGGACATGTTAGTTCTATAGTAGAGCCACTATGTATTCAGTTTAAACATGTTATTCGCATTGCTAGGGAGAATGAAGAGTTTAAATTGTTATCTTCTTTAAATACTTGGGCTTATATTCAATTTGATGATTTTTGCCTACTCAACAATTTAGACAAGAAATTATTTGCTAGATTTGAATTGCCATGCCCTTCTGATGTGATTTTTCATGTCATTGGTTATTATGATAGTAAAGGAGAATATAATGTGCATCGGGTATATATTTGTTTGAATTTGACTATACCTTCTTTTCATGATGAGATGTATTGTCTAGAGGACCGCATGCATATAAGTAATTCTCTATCTAGTTCCTCTAGTTGTTAAATGAGTTATAGGTTGGTTTGCAAGAAGGGGAGTGTTGCGGTTTTTCGACTACAAAGATTTCAGGATCCAACCAAATGGCCATCAAGAAATATCCTCACCTAATGGTGTGATAGATAAAGATAAATTCCATAGGCTCCATGACAAGGTGAAACCGAGGACGGTTTCTAATCAAGAAGAGAAGGATGATGAGGACACAACTAGCTCGAATATAACTATGACTACCATATGTTCTATATTAGATTTACTTGTTATATATTTGAAAAAAAGTTGCTACACAATGAGTTTCTATGTTTTCGTTTGCAAAGGTACTTGCTTGGACGAAGGAAAAGAGGCCGAGCATAACAAATGCATGTAATATCAAAGAAGTTGATTAGGAACTAAACCAATATCTTCTCCAAGTTGACTTCAAGGGCAATTTGGAGTCCAGGACCAGTCTACACTAAAACGGGCACCCAGGTCGCTTACGTGCTTGGATTGGGGCGTTCTTTATATGGATGGAAAGCTAAGAAGATAACCGTTCCAATGGTTTTGGTCCCACATCCAAATTCTTTCCAAGTCAACGGGAATCGACCGAATAAGTTGACATCTAGAATCTGTCCCGGCGCTGCGTTGAAGCCCATTAGGGTTATGTCAAGGGTTGGTTGCACGACCCTAAATTCTATATATATCAGTACCCGCCGTCATATTTAGGGTTTGGGGTTTCACTTAGATTATTCTGTCAAGAACAGTTTCGCTGCTAAATTGGTTTGTAAGACCCCAACTTGTGAGCTTAATCATTCATCTGCAATTTTGGTTGTATTCTACCTTGTTCTTATTTGTGTTCTTCGATTGGCAATCATGGATTAGCCTTCTCGGCAAGGTCATCCGTGTTTCGGCACGGGTGATAACCAGAGGACACGTGGTGCGGCTATTGCGGGGCTCAAGAGCGTGCGCGTTCAAGAAGTCCGATCGATTTGTGTCGCGACTCCGCCCAAATCGTTGTTTATCAGAACCTTTTGGAAAATCAGGAACCCTAGTCCACATCAATAAAGCTTATGTGGAGTTCAGGGTATGGAAAAGAGTACAGCATTACCTGCATCACATATATTGCTTAGTTAAATAATCGATCCAAGGAAATACAAGACATACTTTTTGTCAAGAATGTGCATGTGTATGTGTATGGTGAATTTGTGGGTGGAAAATGGAAAATAAAAATAACTCCTTTTGTATACCTCCTCCTCTATTTTTTTTCTCTTTTGGGATTTAGGAGAGTGCATGGCTATCTCTTTTTTTTAATCATCATGCTCCATACTTGTATGAACACTTTTTTTTCTTTCTTTTTGCATAGCCATGCCTCTCCCTTTCTCTTTTTCTTTTAAAGAACTTTAGAGGAAGAGGCATAAATGACATGGAGTATTTATTTTGTGGATAATGGATGGAAAGAATGGTAAATGAGAAATGCTAACTTCCAGTATAAAAGTCAAGCATAGATGGGTGTATGTGAAGTGTCTGTGATATTGACCATGAAAATATGAAAAGCATTTCACTAGGGTCACAAAACTTGACAACGCTCAATGTACTGACAAGCAGCGTATGGAGCAAGCTAATCATGACCGATCAACCTGTGGCTCTAGTGGGAATAAAAATATCAATTTGGAGTTTAGCATCGTTATATATATATATATATATATATATATATATATATATATATATATATATATATATATATATATATATTCTTTTTATAAAATTCTCAAATGTGCAACATGAAGAACAAGATTTCTACCATCAGACTATAATATCTCATTCATCAATTATCTAGATAGCATGGGTCCCTATTGGATATATCACCACAAGCAACAAGTAATGAGCAAAGAATAATAGGCATGCATGTTATTTTCAGGGAGACCATGAACTCTAATTGTACCATCCCTAGCTTGGGTTCAATTATCTTCGATATTTTAGAATTGATAATCAAATTAAACTCAAGATAGAATCGATGTCCAATGAAAAAATTGTGCAAACCTGCGCTCTGTATAAAACATAGGACGATTCATGGTAGAGGTGGTTCAGCCAAACTGGAGGTTTGGCTAACCCCTCATTGGGTCTGACTACATCAATTTCCCTTGTGCGGTTTGTCATGACTCATCACTTCTGGGGTGATCTTGCTTTAATTATGTCGTTGATATGCAAGATCACCCCCACACTTGTCTTTGTACCTGGGACTCTTTATTGGACACAAAAAAGAAAAACAAAGACACGAGTGAAGAAAAATGACTCACTTGGTTGGAAGACCAAGGAGCCACATTTATTTTGTTTTATTTTGTCTTTTTTTATGGGAACGATGGATACGGTGGGTATCCTAGCAGGATGAAAACATGGGATGAGGATGCATAAGGTGTTGAAGATTCTTAACAGATAGATATTTACCAAGCTTAAACCTCAATTGAATGCAAAATGTTTTGCATTTGTTCTGCTTGGCTGTTGTGCATCTCTTTCCCATGGACCAAGGAGCGTAATATAAGTGTTTGAAGTTATTGTATACTGCTCCTTGATTGTCATTTTATTATCTGCAAAAGGTTAGTTGACAAGAAATACCCGAGGGACTATAAAGAATTGCAAAGATCTTATCGTAGCCTCGAGATTAATTGTTCACATCCATGCTAAAAACAAAATTGGATTAAAAATTTAAGAAGCGTGGATCCCACAAGTTTGTCAACCTTTTATTTTATTTTTCGAGAGACAGTTCTTTTATTCTAAAAACATTTTAATTTTTTATTATTCACCAAATTTTCGTTTAAGCAAAACTCATACAAGGCTTTAGTTAAAATTACACGAACATAACAAAGGAACATTCGACAGTATACTTACCCTGCACTTTAAATGGTGATGTGTTCATCCTTTGCATGTTAGCAATTTACTGATTTGTTTCTCGAGCCCTAACTTACCTCCAGTGTGAATTGAACTTGAGGACTCACCCGTCAGTTTGAAAACTGTCCTGCAGGGGTTAGTCTATAGAAGATATGCATCCAATGTCCATGAAAGTGCATGCTCTAATGGTTCATTAATCAAATTCGACACCATGTCTAATTTGATTAAAGCAGACTATTTTAACCTAAGCACATGTTGACGTAAAACACGAAGCCTGGGAGATCTGCTTAACTCTAGTGCAGGTCCAAAACTCGCCTTTGGGTATGCTAGTGTGCCAGTTGATTTGATCCTGCAATCAACAAGAAATAAAGACAAAGAAACTGCGGTTAAACCTATAAACGATAGCCGATCGACTAAGTGCCGATGACATATCATTTATCTTTGAGCCGATGTCATATATAAATCGATCGGCAGTTATAAGTAGATAATAAAGAACTAGATCTACTCGATCGGCTGTAGATATTAACAATATATAGTTCTTATATCGATATATACTTAAATCAAGTGATTGGGATAGATCGGTGTGGAGATTATGGGTACCCCATATCCACACGGCATGGTTATCCGACTAGTCATATGGGATAGCTTATATCTATGGAATATGTAACAGATCATGACTTGGGTATTATGTTTCCTTTTATATCATTGAGCGGTCTAAAGTCCTGATTTGATAATATTGTAAATTAGATTTAGGAAACCGATACCGTATTGGTTAAGGTTTCTATCTTGTAATCCTGCCCCCCCCCATCCTATATAAGGTGGGCAGGAGGCCCTCTAGGGGGCATGAGACATAACCTGATCGTCAGATCAATACACACCCGGCGGATTCAAATCCCAAAACAGGAGTAGGGTATTACCTCTCATTGAGAGGGCCTGAACCTGTCTAAATCCTTGTCTCTGCATCCATCCACTTTTAGGTCTCGTGCGCTACCCCCTTTTATTATTGCCGAATTCATGTTCCGATAGTTGGCGCGCCAGGTAGGGGTTGTGTCGAGTTATCTATCAAGAAGCGCGATGGAATCAACTTTACGAGTCGCCGGCTTCGTCTTCACTTCGGGAGCTGCAACTTCCTCGCCGCCGACGAATTCCCTAAGCTTTTCTTCTCCAACTCAGATCCAATCTAGCCGGGAAGATTAATCTCGGCGATGGATCCAATCACCGTCGCCGCCGAGTCTTTTCTTTGATCGGCAAGACCGGACGTCAGTCACTGAGTTTTGTTCTTGATCAGCAAAAGATTTGAAGCCAACAGCTATTATGAGCCTGCATAAGTAGTTGTTCCTGTCAATTCTATTTTATGCAATGAGATCAAATCTGTCGCCATGTGCTGTCAAGCAACAGATCAAGCATGATCAAATCTGTCGCCATGTGCTGTCAAGCAACAGATCAAGCATCAGCAGAAAACATGCATGCAAGGCTCTGAAGCATCGGCGTCTTTTCTCGTCGACATCAAAATTTGTTGGCGAGATTCAATTTCGGAATCGACATGGACTCCAAGCCAGCTGATTGGAGCAATTGTCGCACAAGGGCATCGATCAAGCCACTTCTGTCCAAGCTATACATGCAGGTGCATAATCTACCTAGACAGATACATGCACGCAGCGACCTTTTTGCTGGAATCCACGCAACAAACATACCAGGATATAAAGCAGATTTGCTGAGATCATCCGGAGATATCGTCTCTGATTCAATCAAGCAAGCCATACACCGCTGATGACATACATGCATTAAAAATCTTGGATTACAAACCAGGTTTATCGTTTTAAATTCTTTCGTAAATTAGATTAATTCACAGATTACTAATTATTGTTTGATCTGTTATTGTTTATGCATGTATGTCGGCTGCTGTCGTCGCCGCCGGCTGGCTTCTTTGCGTCCATGGTTGGTGTACTCCGCCACCATTGCTGATGGCGACATTGTCTTCACCAACCGGCTGCCTCCATCGCCGCCGACTGGTGTCCTCGCCTATACGGTTGGTTGGTCATACCACCGCTGATAGGCATCTTCATCATCACCACCGGCCTGTCTCCGTCGCCGCCGACTGGTGTCCTCGCCTATACGGTTGGTCGGTCACACCACCGTTCATGGGCGTCCACGTCTTCACCGACCGCCTTGCCTTTGCCGCCCCCAACTAGTGTCTCCGCCTACACGGCTGGCCTATTATGCCGTCGTTGTTGGGCGTCTAAGACTTCACCACCAGCCCGCCTTCGTTGCCGCCGACGGGTGTCCTCGCCTATACGGTTGGCGGATTCCGCCGCCGTTGACGGGCCTCGTCATCTACACCACCGGCTTGCTTCCGCCTCTGCCGACTGGTGTTTTCATTGCCATTGATGGACGACTTTGTTCCCACATCAGCCACCTCTGCCGTCATCAAGAGGAATATTACAAAGCTAAGTCATTAATTTCTTTCTTTATATGATATTTTACTTTTCCTCTGCCTCACTATGTCAACTGGTTCGCCGTTGACTAGTGAGTCGGGGGCTACAGATGTTATATCATATTTTTTTAAATAATTTTCATAATATTTATCTTGATGGCTTGCGATATAATCTGAGTGCAAAAGTGCCTATCGAGTTATGGAGTTATTTCTTCCTATGCTTTCCGTTTGGTTTGTCGATGGATAGTTGCCTTTAGGCCGATTCCTAGCACCCGGGGGCTCATTGGATAGACCGAGTAACGCAAGGTGCTAAGTATTACTTGGAAAAAGTCAAAAGCATAGAGATAAGATAATTTATTTTTTGCTATTAAGAATTGCAAAAGTACCCGAGTAGTAAACTCTGATCCGTGAAACTTTGTTCCATTAATGACGAACTCATGTCACTCGTATGCATGTTTGGGAAGTGCCTAGGTCGACTCCCGGTGCGCGGGGGCTATGACTAGTCGGGCAGAGTGTTTAAACGTGAGGAGTCATCCGCTCGGGGAAATCAAAATTAACAATAGGAGAAATACATATTTATAAACATTTTTAAATACTTGAATTTTCCTTGAGTATTATATTTACATCAGATACTACTCATCTTATATGTTTGTTCTGCAGGATCCAAATCCAGATATGCATAAAAGGGATTTATGGCTTTAAGCTTATCTCTTATGCTCCAGGAATGGATCAGTCAGAACATCACCACCGGCTTGCCGTCGTCACCGCCGACTGGTGTCTTCGCCTATACGGTTGGTTGGTCACACCACCGTTATTAGGTGTCTACATCTTCACCGCCGGCTTGCCTTCGCCGCCGTCGACTGGTGTCACCGCCTGCACGGCTAGCCTATTA